TGCAGGCTTTGATGTTCTCGTTGAGCCTGCGGAGGAGGTCCTTGCCAGTCCTGGCGTTGGCCACGACCTGCTCCTTGAGCTGTTTCTGCTGGCCGTGGAACTGCCGCAGCTGCCGCGCAGCCTGTTCCAGGAGGGTCGCAGGCGCGGGCGTGAGCTCTGCCGTCTTGGCCAGCTCGGGACAGACCAGCTCCAGCGCCTGGATGGCGGCGGCGTCCTTGGCCTCGCGCGCCGCCTTGTACTTGGGCATGCGCTTCTGCACCAACGGGGAGTCGTCCACATTGAAGGTGACGGTGCGACCCGCGGCTGTCCCGTTGCGAGCGGCTTGCAGCCCTGTGCGTGATGGCCAGGGGACTCCACAGGTATGGCACCCTTCCCAGCCAGGTTGGCCAGCACGAGACTCATACACCCAAGAACGAGGACAGATCCCACAGACGTAGTACTCATAGCGCATCTTGCCGCCATCCCTGGAAGCAGAACGTGAAGAGCACCTCTGGCTGCCCGTCTTGCCCATGTATGTGCGAACTCGCACCACACGACTTTTGCCGCCCGCGGGCGCCCCTCAAGCAGCGGACGCACGTAGCTGGCGCCTGGCGCCGGCCCGTGCGCGGTACGCGCGTGTGGTGTCTGATGGAGGCCGCCTCACCCCAAAGGGACCTCGCACCAGAATGGCTTGAGAGGAGGAGGAGGAGGAGGAGGAGGAGGAGGAGGAGGAGGAGGAGGAGGAGGAGGAGGAGGAGGAGCGGAGGGGGAGGAGGAGAGAGCCCGTGGCCCTGGACCACCCCTCAAGAGGGCAAACCCCCGCTTCAATTCAAGCCTCTGGGAGGGCCTGCGAATACGCATCCCCCGAAGGCCAGTGCCAGTCGTGCCTGCTATGCCGTCTGAGCCTGGCTGTTCCAACAGCCCGAAGGCGGCGTGAGCGCGGCCAGGAGGAGGAGGAGGAGGAGGAGGAGGAGGAGGAGGAGGAGGAGCAGGAGGAGGACGAGAAGGAGGCGGAAGGGAGGTATGCGGAGGAGGAGGAGGTTCCGAGGGATGAGGGAAGCGGCTCGGTTCGCTGGAGGAGGAGCGGGTGAGCCCCCTCCTGCCCAGGAGCAGGGCCCACGAAGAGGGAGAAGGGATAGATCCTCCCTGCACAGCAGAACCAGGATGTCCAGAAGCATAAGCTTTCGGAGGTCCGCGGGCTCCCCCTGGCAGCGCCTCGGGCGCCGCCGCGTGCGCGCGTCGCGCCAGGGGTGGGGGGGCCCAACGCCGGTACCAAGAAGTCCGCGCGGACCTCCAAGCGTTCATGCTGATACGGTCTTCGTTGTGCGTTGTGCCAGGACGCCCTCAACGTCAAGGATCCGAGCTGCACCTGGTCCTCAGGCAAGGTTCAGCCCGTTCGCCGCATCAAGAGGCGCAACAGTACTCACACGTTCAACCTCGACGATATTTTCTGGACCAGTGTTCCCAAAGTTACAGCCAAGATCGGATGGACCTGTCTGACTTCGGCTCCTACGTTGCAAGCACGTGCTACGATGACGAGCGCGTCCTGTGAGATGGCCTTGAAGATCATGCAGCTCAGTCCTCTTGAGCGCCTTCATCCACTGGGTTAAGGTTACCTTTATGGGTCTACATTATAATTCAATGTGACCCATTCACCAAATTCTTATTATTCTTCTCCTCGCAATGCCAATTTGGTCACCGCTAGAGGGGTCGCCACTTCCTCGCGGAGGACCCCTCAGCACCCACGGTATCCTTCATATTCTCAAGAACGTAATGGGATCGCCTTGATAACGTGCTCGAGAACTCGGTCGAGAACGTCGACCCTCATCGACTCTCGATCCTCGAGCCACGATCCTCAGGAGACGCTGGCCACCCCCCCCCGGCGGTGACATGAGGGGTCCCGACACTTTCACAGGGGGGACAATCTTTCGACTCCACTGCCGATGGCCCCTGGCCACGACAACGCCCCGCGGAGACCGAAGTTGAAGAACAGCGCCAAGATCGAAACTATCAATCTGGCAGATGTCGCGGTTGTCTTCCTAGTGGTGACCCTCCTCGGCAATGCCTGGTCCTCCGACGCCGTGCTGTTCCACGACGTGGCCCAACAGAATGTTGGACCCCGTCGCCAGCTTTTCGTCTGAAGTTGCCATGTTGCCCCACAGAGCCCGACAACGGCGCCCCGAGGACGAAGACGGTGACAAAACTCCGCCTCGAAGACGGTGGCAAAACTCCGCTTCGAATCTGGTGTAAGATGTTGGACGTCTCAGGAGGGGATCGACAGACCCCGGCTGGCGCGCAGACCTGGGGTCACGACGAATTCGGCGCGGTCGCTTCCAAGTGGTAAGCCCCTGGTCCAGACATCGCGCTGGCACTCCCGATTTCACCACAAAAGGGGGGGGGTCTGATTTGGGGGGGAAAGTCTGCTTGGAGCTGTCCTGGAGGTTCCAGTGGGATATGGGCAAAAAGGCCGCCCTTTCGTGGCTGGTCTGGGGGGGGTGTAAAGCTGCTCGTCTGGGATGGTTACGACCCCCACCCTAGTATTGCGAAATTTGAAGTATTCGATCAAATGGTTTTCTTTGCCCCCCTCCCTCTGCATGGCCAAAGAGCAGCGAAGCGTGGCGAGGGAGGGCCTGCTTTCCCTCCTCCTCCTCCTCCTCCTCCTCCTCCTCCTCCTCCTCTTCCTCCTCCTCCTCCCTCCTCGTCCTTCTCCTCCTCCTCCTCCTCCTCCTCCTCCTCCTCTTCCTCCTCCTCCTCCTCCTCCTCCTCCTCCTCCTCCTCCTCCTCCTCCTCCTCCTCCTCCTCCCTCTCCGTAGCCATTTTGGCTCCAGGTGATGTGCTCCGCTGCGAGCAACATGGGGATACCGCTGATCCGCGGCAAACTTCCAAGAAAAGTGTTGCGGGCCCCTGGTGGAGCAACTACGTGTGTGAGCTCCTGTGGGAGCACCCTCAGGAATAACCATCTGCAGTGGCTGCGGCAAGTGGTGCTACAACTGGCAGCTCAAGCGCCAGAAGGGTCAATGCGGGATCTGACGCAAGAAGTACAGCGCGGGCGCGGCCGAAAGAAACCCTCGCAAAAAACCCAACCCAAAAAATTCGCGCGCAGGGTGCACCTGAGGGGAAACCCAGAGCACCCTGAACGCATCAGTTTCTTCAACGGCTGCGGGAAGTCACCGCGCAGCGCGCGGAGCGAAGAGAAACCCAGGATATCCGGACGAAAAGCACCGCATGGTTTCTTGATGTGCGCCCCCACTGTAGGATGGTTGGACAACGACGACGTCAGGGACCTGGCTGTCGCCGTGGGCGTCTTCTCCGCCGGAGGCACCAAGCTCTTGGCCTGCGCTCCCGTCTTCCGGCAGCAGCGCGCTCGAGCAGGCCCTGTCGATCGCGCTACCACGGGGTGGTCTCGATCCGAAGGGTGAGCGGGCCGCCAGTTTCATGCAGCAGGCCATTTCGGGGGCGCGCAAACATGGATTAGCGATCCATGCATTAGGCGCACGGTCGCCAAATCCATGGATCGGGGGAGGTGCCCTCCCCAAAATGCGGCCGGTGCCGCCTCGTTCGGCGGCGGAAATCCGCGATTTCCCATGGGAACGGGACCCGTCGCTAATCCACGCCCCCTTTATCCATGCTTGCGATCGCCTGGCCACTCGGTTGTTGGAGGAGAAGAAGCCTAAGCCCCCGCCCAAGACGGCGCACCAGGTCTTGCAGGAGGCCCCCCTCGGAGTGCGCCAAAGAAGTACCCAAGACATCCGGCTGCCCCAATCTTTTCCGTGCGCGGGCCCTGGAGGCCTGGTGCACTTCCCCTTTGTGATTCACCTTTTGCAGATTCAAGCCTCGAACATCCATCGAAACGGCATTTCAGTTTTCACCCTGTGTCCTCCACCCAAAGAAAGGCTCGGGTTTCTTGACGCTCCCGAAGCCCAGCGAGGGCTCCCGGAGGCCGAAGATTGCCCAAAAGCCCTCCGCCCCGACTTGGTCAGAGCGGCGGCCCTCTGGGCTGAAGTCGGGCCTGTCCCTCTACTGGGGGATTTTTGACGAAAAATTCATGAGCCCGCAACATCTCGTGTCAGGACGTGCAAAGGCGAAGCCTCAAGATATGCAACCCGACCGTTGCCATCTTTTCAGCAGCACAGTGCACAATGTTACTGAGCTCTCCGCCTGGGCACGCAACGAGGCAGACAGTACGCATCAGCAGTCTGGTGGCGACGAGGTGCGGGATCGTGAGAAGTGCTCGAGCAATCAAATTACTCCCAGCCGGAGAGGTTAGTTCCGCTTTTAGCGAGGGTTGTGAAACAACTGAAAAGCAGCCCTGCTTCACAGGGCTGAGGGTGGTAGTGGGCGGGAGACTTGAGCCGTAACATTATGATACGGCACTTCCTTCAAGCTTTATCATAGCTCGTGAACTTTACAATGATCCCGCAACATCTCGTGCCAGGACGTGCAAAGGCGAAGCCTCAAGATATGCAACCCGACAGTTGCCATCTTTTCAGCAGCACAGTGCACAATGTTACTGAGCTCTCCGCCTGGGCACGCAACGAGGCAGACAGTACGCATCAGCAGTCTGGTGGCGACGAGGTGCGGGATCGTAAGAAGTGTTCGAGCAATCAAATTACTCCCATACCCACATTCACGTGTGCCCTACGAAGTGTTTAAAAACAAGTGTCAATCAAGGCCCAAGAGACAGGGCCCGAGGCTATGCATATACTGTTCAGTTAAATGAGCGACCAGGGAGCGAGCTAAAAAAGTGCACAGGGGGGCGGGATAGGCCTGAGCCCTTCTAGTGCGAATGGCAGGGGAGGGCAGCAAGCAGGGCAAGAGCTTTGCCCGACTTAAAATCCTGGACGAGCTTGCGTCTGTTGGCGGTCCTCAGTATATCTGCACCAGGGCCGTCGATCACATCCCAAGCTTCCGCTTCGACCCCCTGGGCAGCAACTGCCCTTGAGAAGCCAGCTTCACCAGAGAAGAGCTCGATGATTTTCTGGCCTTCGAAGAGCGCACGGATGGGGCGAAGTGCGGCATGCCTGACCGGAGCTGGGCCTCGAGGTTGACTAGACACATGGCGGCGCGGCTCTGTGTCTCCTCGGAGACCAGCTTCTCTTGGAGCTGGAGCCTGCCGTGCGCCTCGTAGCGTCGGACCGACCGATCGCCCCTCCAGCGACCTCTGTCCTTTACCTCTGCCTTCGAGCGGAGGCGGGTCAGGATGTCGTGCGAGGGCCCGCCGTGACGCAACTGGTACAGGTCGGGCTTGAGGACGGCCAGTCCTGCGGTCCTGGCAGCAGTCTTGAAACTCTCGTTGAAACTCCGGTAGTCGAAGTCGAACAGTGCTGGCCCTGCAGCCGCGCCCCGGCGCGCGTCCAGAAGGTATCCGAGGAACGGGAGGGCCGACGAGTCCAACAGCAGCGTCTCGTCGTACAGGCCAACTTTGCTGGGTTGGCCCCTCTCCGCGCGGTGTAGGTGAATCGCGTAGTAGGGGCTGCCCTTGGTTGGCACGAGCACGTCCGTCACCTGAAGCGAGAGGAGCTCGATCGGCCTCAGGTAGGCCGAAAACATGAGCATCACCGCCAGCGCCATGCTGACGAGGTTTATGCCGACGAGCTCCAAGGCGATCAGCGCCGCGAACGCCAAAGGTAGCGGCGGCCTGGTCCTGCCTGGGTCGAGCCTGTTGAACCCCTGCAGCGCCTTCATGGTCCGCGCCAGCTTGTCGGGGCCCTTCTTGGAGAAGGACGGGCGGAGCTTGACCCAGGCCGCATAGGTGCCCGTCGCCTCGCCGATGTCCGCGCCCTCGATCCACATCTGATTCAGGTAGTCGACCAGCGCGCAGTCCACCAGCTTGGCAGAGGTGAGCCTGAGCCCCCTGGCATCCGCCCAGCTCTCGAAGTCGGCGACCCTCTTCACATACATGGCGTGGGTCCGCTCGGTGACGGCATTCGCCTCCAGGAACGTCTCGACGTGCGACTCCGACGAGTTCGACGCCCTGATCCCGATGGGGCCGACCAGCTCGCGCCTGAGCTGCGCCCGAGCCTGCTTGTGGGGCGCTCCTCGAGCCAGTCGCTGCTTCTCCTGTGCTCCCAGCGTGCGGGCTCGGCGCGCTGCAGCGGCTGTCGGGCGCCGCGGAGGCGGCCTCGCTGGCGCATCCCTGAGGCCGCGGGCGGCGCGGCTGGAAGCCCGCCCAGTGGGCGGGAGGGGGCAGTCCTGGCGGAGGTCGTGGCACGGTAGTCGGTGCACCAGCACCCGCGGTGCTGGTCGGTGAAGTGCGCCTTGGGGAAGGAGACCCCTCACCATGTTTGAGCCTAAGGTGCTCCCACAGACGAGACCCCTTGTCCACTGGGTTTCTCTCCGAAGGTATCCAGCGATGGTGAATGCGCGCAGATGTGGCGAGCTCCAGGGCACGCAATCTCCTGCAGCAGACCAATCGCGTGAAGTTCTTCACACGGCCCTTCTCCTGCCCCAAGACGTTGCCCAAGTTGTCTCCCAGATGAAGGTGATGAGAACGAAAGCCTCCGGATGACTTCAGGGTGTGCTTCACGCCAGAGACCGTGGCCCGAGACCCCAGGTCCCCGATGCCCTCCTTGAACACAAAGGGCGCCGCATAGCTACTCTTCCACATGGAGTCCTGTAGGAGGCCCTCGGGAATCTCTTTGAATGAGAAGTTGGGCTCGTAGGGGGAGGGCTCGAAACGGTCGACGATGGGCTTCGCCGCCTCGAGGTCCTGGAACGGGCCGAGGGCCCCCAGAGCGGCACGACGCGGCGCAGAAGACGGCACGGCACAGCGATAGCGAAACCTCTCGCGAGCACCCCCTGCCTCCATCACATCCGAGACATTCCAGAGAGACTTGCCCACGGCGTACCCGGACAGCGAAGCATCTGTAGCTTTTACCTGCGGAGTCCACGGCATCCTGAGGTCCGCCCAAGCGAGCGGCAGCAGCACAGAGATCCACTTACACTCCAGCGCGGCGGAGTGCCAGAGACGCCCCTTGCGGCTCCAGTTCTCGTGCATGAACTGATACGAGGCATTTGGCAGCGAGAACATGGAGCGAGTGAGGAGGAATATCGGCGTGACGTAACCGAGAGCCTTACTAATTTGCCAGCCCGTGACGTGAGGTCTTCTCCTGAGATGAGTAAACGCTGCCACGGCCTTCTCAAGCCGATGCGGGATCGGGAAGACCCCTCCACGTTTTCCGTCAACCAGGTAGCCCAGGGACTCGAAAAAGGTTATTACCTCCACCTCTTCATGAACCTGGAAGCCCACGCGTCTGAGCTGATCGGCTGCCAACATCTTAACATTACTGACGGAGTCCTTGTCTGTGCCCATGACAATCAGATTGTCGCAATAGGGGGGGGGGGGGGGCACGGGAACCTTACAAGATAAATCCGGAGTGGGAGCGTCTTCTTCGAGTAGTCGGTCAGAGCCCAGTTGGGTGCCCAATGAGACCTGATGAGAGTGGGCCCTCTGTGCGAACCAGAATGCCCAGGACCAGCCCCGAGGACAGACACGCATGACAGGATACGCACGCCCAGGAAGGCCAGCCCGAGAGGACTCATGTCCAGGAAGAGCGCCCCAGGAGATGGCGTTGGCAGCACTAACAGTTGGCGGGCCAAAGTACTTTCGGAGCCAGTGCGGCAGCGCGAGCCAGTAGAAAACAGTTGCTGACATCCGACAGAGCCCCGTACAAAACTTGGCCTTGTGGAGCCTGCAAACGAGAGAGGACGGCCCCCGTCGCAATCCTCATCCGAGGTGGCGCTCTGAATCTACGGTTCGGACTCCTGCAGTCCAAAACAATGCGTAGAGCAACGCCTTTCTTGTCGACAAAGAACGGAGTGATGTGATCCTCGACCTCGAACGCAAACTCAACGATACCCGCGTGGTACAAGTCTTTCACGAAACCTTCGTGCGCAATCTGATCAGCTCGTAAGACCTCATCGAAGTAGGAGGTGACATGAGGAGAGGTCTCGATCACTTCCCCCCACTCCTGTGGGGTCTTCAGCATGCGGTCGGCCCCCTCGATTAAAACCTGACGCCCCTCCTGGTCGAGGACATCCTCGAGCCTGGGCGCCCTCGCGCTCGACTGAGGAAGAGACACGGGGGCAGTGCGAAAGGGGCGGACGCGGCTCGCAACCTCCTCCGAAGCGTAGGAGAGGTCTGTGCGCATGACCTCACGGAAGGCGTCATGCGGAAAAGGTGCAGGTTTACCGCTGCCAGGCACAGAAGCTAGCTTGCTCAGTGCCTGATGGTGAGCCTCCTCCTGGGCGAGGTTGGGGGCGAGGTCCGTGGAGCCGACCCCGTACAACTCATTGAGGGCATTGCACACTGTCGTCGCTTCGTGCGCTCGCCGCTCACGACGCCGGAGGGCTCGATCTGAAACCAAAACTTGCTCAGGTACCTCATGTCCCGCATCAACTGGGGGCAAGGGAAAAAGATCGCGAGGCCGATCGCCTGCGACCGCCTGACCATATCGATGGGCATGAAAGGGCCCAAGCACCTGTGGAGCGCGGGCTTGATGAAGTCGAGGCTGTAAGACATCACCACCGCGCTGGCCTGAGGGATCTCCTGGGAGTCGGCCACACTGCCCAGGAGGGAGGGGGCTCATACCTCCTCGCCCGCGGGACCCAGTCCGCCCCTGCCGCGACCACGGCCTTTGCCGCGTCCACGACTCCGGGCCTGCTGCTCCTCGCGGGCTTTTCTGCTCTCCTTCGCGATGGCCGCCTGGTCCTTCAGCTGGTTCGCCACGTACTGGGCAAGCGCAGGATTGGTGCCGCCTCCTGCCATCTGGGGCCCCCAGCCCATGAACACATCTCCAGCAGAGTAGTCAGGATTGGAAGGCGCGGCCCTGTGGGCCTCCTTGATGAGGGCCATGCGGCGGCACACCAACTCGGCCCACTTCAACGCCGACAAATTGAGTTGGTCGTAGGTGGCCGCAGCCTCCAATATCCTGCACAAAACCTGATGTTCATACACCGAACGATCGCCCTCTGGGATACGGGAAGATCGAACCCACCTCTCATGATGAGCGTTCGGGCTAGCATCATCATCTCGGATCTGCTTCAGCTGCCAGAACGTGGTGGGTGGACCGTCGAGGCCGAGACCACCCCGTGGAGGCGTAGGGTCCATGGCCGACACCGCTTCCGCGAAGCCGACCCTGCGCTCACCCGACGCGTCCGTGACGATTGGCAGCGCTCTGAGATCATCATGCACGAATCGGTATATATCAGCCTCCGCCATGCGCTGCACAAACAAGTGACCGTTCCCATACTGAATGATGGCCTTGTCTCCGAGGGTCACGGCGTTGTCGGGCCGCACTGGTATCTGAGTCCCCTTCGTGATGTCCTGAGTGTCCTCCGCCGCGACCCACACGAGCGGGGAGCCAGCCTGCGACGCAGTGCCAGCGGGCCCTGGCGCCGCAGCCGCTGCAGCAACCGCACCTGGGACCACCGCGCCGCCTGCCGCCACAGGCGGGGGCGCAGCGGGGCCGAGGTGAGCTCCCAGCGGGGGAGCCACCGCCACCAGCGCTCCTGGCGGCGGGGCTGCTGGCCCCAGCGGCGGATGCCTCGCGGCGGGGGCAGCGCCAGGCGGGCCCACAGCAGGCACCACAGGACCTGGAGGAACTGGGACCCCTGCCTGAAGAGCACCGTCCGCCACGTGCTGGATCATCTCGGCAGCCGTCGGCACGTCACGAAACCGATACACACTTCCAATGGGAATGTCTGGGGGAGGTACCCCCAAGCCTGGGGCGCTCCGAAACTCAGCTATATCGAGATTGTCTGGACGAAGCTCTTCCACAAAAATGTCGCCGTCGGGCGTTAGTACTGCGTAGTGGCCTGGCTGACTGCCGACCGCGAGGATGAGCCGCTCATGCCAGAGCGGCGGACCGGGCAGGTCGTACCTGACCAGCACCACATCACCGGGCGCCACCATTGCGTTGTCGTATGATGGCGAGTTGCTTCAATGCCAGATCCCGCGTAGCAGAGTCGTCCACGACGGCCTCGGGCTCAAGGCGCCTGGACACGAACGAGGTCAACCAGCCGCCGCAGCGACCTATGAGACCCGTGCAAGTCAGGACTCCAAATCCCACGAGGAGGCCCGCGACGAAGCCGAAGACGCCAGACCAGCCTACTCCCTCAGCGCCCTGCGGGGTCACTGACGGGCAAGAGAAAGTCGGACAAGTGATATTGATCGACGGGGTCGAACACGTGACCGTCGGACAGGTGACCACACAGTCAGGGCAAGGCGGGCACTGTCGAGATCCCAGGCCCCAAATGATCGCAAGATCGGCGGCCTTGGTAGCGGCTAGCTGGGCGGGCCACCCGACCATGAGAACAGACTTGAGCCGTAACATTATGATACGGCACTTCCTTCAAGCTTTATCATAGCTCGTGAACTTTACAAAAATGGCCAAAACATACCCCAACATGGTCCACAAATGCTCAAAAAATCCTCCCCACATCATGTTTCGACTACTTTTGAGCATCCCTCCTGCAGAGGGACGGGCCCGACTTACAACTCTGGGCAGGCTGCACGGGGGCAGGCGCCCAGGGCCCCTGGTGCACGCGGAGGCGGCTCTCCGGCGGGCGCAGCAGGCTCAGCGAAGGGACGGCCGCCGCCGGGCACCGGGCGGACCTGCGCCGGCAGAGGGCTCGAGCTGCGGTGGCAGGCCCTGTGCTCGAGGCCTCCTGGGTGGGGTCGGAGCAGACGGGGTCGGAGGCTCGCGCCGCATCGCCGATGCATCGCCGATGCATCGGCGATGCACGGGCGACGTCGACGCGAGGCAAATCAGGCTGCACATCGGGCCTCCTGAGAGCCTTTCTGTGTCCTCAGAAGCCCTCGCGCCTTCTGAGAGCCTTTCTGTGTCCTCGGGGACGGCTCAGGAAACTTCTCAGAAGGCCGGGAGACCTCCGAGCCTTTTGAGAAGGCATTCCTCTTCTCACTTCCCCCCCGGGCTCGCCGCCGAGTCACTCTTCGACTCCTGGGATGACTTTGAGGAGGAGGAGGACAAGGGTAAGCTCGATACCCTCCGCACGCAGCTGCAGGAGGCGACGCGCGCGGCACAGGACAAGCAGGAAGGAGTTCAAGGAGCTCCTCGCAGGCACCAAGAGGGCGATTCAGAAAACCCTGAACCCCAAAACGGTTTCATCTCTAGGGGCCGCATCCTTTACTTCCGCCGCCTTCCGCCGAGGAAGAGATGGCAACTCCTTCGACTCTCGAAGGCAAGGCGCTTTCTGGAACGCCCCAAGAAGAGTCTCGACATGCCGAAGAAGCTGGTTCGGAGAGGTCCTACACGCCGCCCGACGAGGCAAAACGAAACCCTGGGAAATCACTGGCACCTAGCGCGAAGAAGCACAAATGGGGAGCAACGACGATTCGGAAGTGCACCGATGCTCGGATTCACCCCGCGATGGACCAACACCTCCACCACAACGTACCCCCGTCGTGGTTTTTGCGGATGGAGAGGCAAACGCTGACGAGGCGGTCGATGCCAAGGCCAGCTGCAAGGAGGAGCCCTCCGAGGCTGCTCCTGACCGGCCCAGCGGCTGGGGCGGCAGCTGCGTCCTCGGCCTCCGCTCACGGCAATGGGGGGAGGCCACGGGCCAAGCTCAAGTCGGACATGTCCCTCTACAGAAGGAATGTTCAAGAATAGTAACAATAGCCTGGAGACGATTTCTCGTGCTTGTGCAGTCTTCTTGATTACTGTTTGACAGTGTTTCATTTTCTTCCAAAACCCGCCCGTAGGAGGACAGGCCCGACCAAAGGCCAATCAAGGGAGAGACGGACAAGGTCGTCGAGCAGATCCAGCGGTCTGCGGCTGAGGCGGCTCGCATGGCAGAGCGCGGGGCTCCTGGCGCTGCTGCTCAGGACGCTCCTCCCGAAGGCGCTGGCGGGCAGCAGCAGCTTCAATGACCACGAGACAATGCAGGTAGGTGTACAGCCATGAGGAGTCAGGCGACCTCACCGTTTCTTCGCCAACATCGCGGAGTGGGGCCCACAAGCCTCACGTTTCCTAACTCATCGGTGCAGTGATCGACCAGTCGTCATGTTTTGTGGGACCCACAACAGAGATGATGATCTACCTGATCTGGTCAGTCAGCTTGGCCAAGACGGGTGGAGGATGGCGCCGACGGTGGCCAGGCCCACGGCCAAATCTACGGAAGGTCTCTCGGGAGGGAAGCGGGTGCTCACACGGAAACGCATTGCGGCCATTTCCTTCCAATCTGCTCGAGGTACGGCAAGGCAAATGAGAAGGCGGGACCCTTGCTGCGGATTCTGCCCTGTCGCACTCCACGCCGAGGCTGGGAAGTTGGCGTTGATCAGCTCATACCTCCTGTCAGGCCCAGGAGTGCGGGGGGGGGAACGAAGACATGCTCAAGGCTCTAGGTGCGCTCGCTCGGGTCCACGAAGATCCCTGGATCGTCCTGGGCGGACTGGAACATTCAGCCGAAAGATTTCCAGACAACGGATTGGCACGGACAACTACATGCCAGGATCGTTGAGTTCAGACTCTGTCCGCGCTTCAGACTCCGCCCTCTGGTTGGATCAGGACCCCTCTCGTAGCCGCCATCCGTCGCGATTGGGGTCAACTTGGAGTCATCGCGGGGTCGCATTGGGATCGCGGGGTCAACTTCGG